TTAGGCACCACTGAGAAGTCATGTTAGTGCATGATTTGGCATGCTTCATGCACAGTTTCAATCTCCCTTCATTTAGGTCACATTCGTACATACTCCTGCGACACAAGAGCTACTTCTTCGCAGCATAGCCCCTCCTGTTCTCATGTTAATTGTTGGAAACAATCACATCAGTCCTTCCCATCCAACAATAGTCTTCCATGATACTTTCAGACACTGCTTATGTGGACATCTCCTCCAGGCCCTACCTATAGAATATCAGTAAAAGGTAAAGGTAAAGGTACCCCTGCCCGTACGGGCCAGTCTTGCCAGACTCTAGGGTTGTGCGCTCATCTCACTCTAGAGGCCGGGAGCCAGCGCTGTCCGGAGACACTTCCGGGTCACGTGGCCAGCGTGACATCGCTGCTCTGGCAAGCCAGCGCAGCACACGGAATGCCGTTTACCTTCCCGCTGGTAAGCGGTCCCTATTTATCTACTTGCGCCCAGGGGTGCTTTCGAACTGCTAGGTTGGCAGGCGCTGGGACCGAACGACGGGAGCGCACCCCGCTGCAGGGATTCGAACCGCCGACCATGCGATCGGCAAGTCCTAGGCGCTGAGGTTTTACCCACAGCGCCACCCGCGTCCCACAGAATATCAGTAATGGCATTAAAAATATATATATTAGTTGTCTCTTATCACGGTGAAGAATCAATTAAGAGAACTATAATTCCTCTTGATATACTGCTGCACCTCATTCTCAAGGGAGTTAATATTAGACATGCATATTGTGGGATTCCCTTTCAGCGATATACGTTCCCATTCAGCGCAGTAGTTATAATGATTGCTGATATCCACCACAGTTCTTGGTCATGTCAACACCCCTCAAAGGAGTTAACTCGACTGGTGGCATACAGCTGGAGTTCTAACTACTGTCAGAAAATAGTAATGTATAAGAGGTCTAATTAGTCTGAAGAGCGCTGGTGTTTTTCTTTTTGTCATGGATTATACTAATCTTCTCAGTGTGTGCTATATATGCAGTCGTTGGGTTGACTCCAAAGTGCCTCTTGTGAGAGTGGGAAATAGACTCTACGCATACAAGGGGGTGCCCCTGATTTATCTCAATTCCTTTCTCAAGATGCAGCCACATCCCACATTAAGAATGGCTCAAAACTGTCAACATTGCATGGAAGAGATTCAAGCACATAGATGTGAAGCATTTTTTTCACCCCTCAAAACAAGAAGAATTTGGGGAACTGTGGTTTAGCCCAGGCTTCCTCAAACTCGGCCCTCCAGATGTTTTGAGACTATAATTCCCATAATCCCTGACCACTGGTCCTGCTAGCTAGGGATAATGGGAGTTGTAGGCCAAAAACATCTGGAGGGCCAAGTTTGAGGAAACCTGGTTTAGCCCCTCACGGAGCTCCAGTTCCCAGCACCCTTAACAAACTACAGTGCCCGCTTTGTGTGGGGGAAATGTACTTTAAATGCACTTTAAAAGTCTGGTGTGTACACAGCCTAGAATTGTGCAATTAAAGTGAATTAATGGGTTTTGTTGCTCTAATCCGCTTGAAGAAGAAAAAAAAGAATGGGACTCCTTGAGGTTTGGAAACTTAATGGAAAATGCACTGAAAAGTGTGGGATAAGTGAATGACTAGAGGAAAGATGTATAAAATGTCCCGCAAGCAAATCACAATTAATTTAGGATAAATGTTCATTGTGATATAGCCATCCCATAAAGAAATCAGAATGAATGCTCAATGAAGACTGGATATAATCTAACCTCCAAATCAGGATGAATGTGGAATAAATAGGTCATCTGGAAAAGTCCCAACTTTTCAGAGGGCTGCAGTAGGATGGAGAAGATGGGAAAGTTGTCTTCCACGGGAAAAATGTCTGCTCATAACTCTTAGGATCCAACCCAATATTTGTGGCTTTCTTCAACAAATGAAAATGCAAGGAAGAATTGGTTGTATCCAACAGTTACATGAGTGGAAAGCCGCTTATGAAACAGCTCTTTCCTCTCACCCTCCTGCGCCCCACTGGATATGTCCAAAGGCCTGTTCAGAGGGTTAGGGTGGGTTACTACAGGATTGCAACAGGAGAAGCATGACCCAAAATATGTGCTTACATAAGGGGAGGGAACCAATGTACATCTATGTAGTTGGAGCCTTAGAGTTCACTTGCAGCAACATATATTTAGGATGAGGTCCCAGATTCTACCAGCATAGTCCACAACGGAATTAAACCAAAGTACTTGGATTTAAATGGATTGTCTTGCTGAAGTCAGCAGAGCTAATTCAGCTAAAACCAAACTAACGTTGTTGCCAACTGAGGTGTTAAATGCTTACATTGTATTTGGAAATGCAACAGTGGCTATCAAGTAATTTTGTACTGGTTACAGTTTTACCCTCCTTCTAGATATAAACTAGTTTAATTAATATCAGAAGGATATAACTGATTTGGAAGCATTCCTATTAAGTTCTTGGTTTTAAACCAGGACTTTATAATGTACTTCCAAAGAACGAAACCCAGGCCAGCTGTTTTCAGAAACAGACATTTCTTATCTTTCAATATCATTCATTAGAGCATATTAGGGGATGGAAGGAATGCCACAAAACAACAAGGTTTCTAAGTTCCCAGAAGATTTGTTACAAATTCTAAACCAAAGTAGTTCTAGGCCTTAATTTATGTAGACATTTTCCCCTGATATTGGCAGGAGAAGGGGCTTTTTCCTCAGCTAGTGGTAAATATTATATAAATAGAAATTGCTAAAATCTCAGATTCCCAACAACTGGAAATCTTTTTCTGCTGCTCTTGATCTCAAAAGCTGAAACTTCTTCAAGATGACATTAATGTCTCATCTACACTTTGCTAAAATAAGAAGGAACGTCCATGTAAATCTACAAGACCGTTTATATTCTACACATCAGTAAGGCAGCTTCTCATAATATAAAACTTTTCTGTCAGCAAATTTTATTGTTAATATGTCTTAATCTTAAAGGGGGGGGTTGGCTCAGTGCCAATTCACATGTCTGGTGAAAGCATTCTGCACCAAAGATGACCCAACAAGAGATTGATGTAGCTTGGTGACAGAAGCCAGGGAATCCTTGGTTCAACTCTTACCTGAGCCACACATTCACTGATTATCTTACAGTACAATCCTGTGCATGTCTATTCAGAGGTAACCGCCAGTGAGTTAAATGGGACTTACTTCTTGGGAAGTGTTTATATTAGGGATAGCTCAATGTGGTGTCCCCCAGATGTTAATGGATTCCAACTCTCAATGGATCCAATCACAATGGCCAGTGGTTAGGGAGGATGGGAACTGTAACCCAACAATATCTAGAGGGCACCATGTTGGCTATCTCTGATATATAGGATTGCAGCCTTTAAAGCCATGATTGTTTCAGCCTCAGTGCACCACCACCCCACCATGTGCAATATTGGGCATAATAATGTGGGCATCTTGTAAGGATGATTGAGATGAGAAAATAATAATAATAATAATAATAAATTTTATTTATATCCCGCCCTCCCCAGCCGAAGCTGGGCTCAGGGCGGCTAACAACAATCAAATAACCAATAGTTGAATAATCACACATTCTAAAATATTTCATTATAAAAATTAATTAAAATCAAATTGATGGCAACCAAAGTACTGTGCAGGTTGCCGGAGAATATATGCAGAAACAGATCATATGTAAGGTATTATAATAGTGTTTGCATATCTATCGTATTAGGATAAAGTGGTGGTGTTGGTGTTATAGTCAGGACAAAACCATCACAGCTACATAAACAATTATGGGTTCTCCTCCTGCTGAAGGGCTATAGCTCAGTGGGAGAGATCATGCTTTGCATATAACAGGTCCCAAGTTCAATTCCTGAGGTCTGCAGGTAGGTCTAGAGAAACCTTCATGTCTGGTACCATGGAGAATTGCTGCTGGCTATTGTAGACGCAGGTGGCGCTGTGGGTTAAACCACAGAGCCTAGGACTTGCCAATCAGAAGGTCGCGGTTCAAATCCCCACTATGGGGTGAGCTCCCGTTGCTCGGTCCCTGCTCCTGCCAACCTAGCAGTTCGAAAGCACGTCAAAGTGCAAGTAGATAAATAGGTACCGCTCCGGCGGGAAGGTAAACGGTGTTTCCGTGCACTGCTCTGGTTTGCCAGAAGCAGCTTAGTCATGCTGGCCACATGACCTGGAAGCTGTACGCCGGCTCCCTCGGCCAATAAAGCGAGATGAGCGCCACAACCCCAGAGTCGGCCACGACTGGACCTAATGGTCAGGGGTCCCTTTACCTTTTTATTGTAGACAATAGTGAGATAGTGAAATCAATGGTCAGTGTCCTTCCTCTATTTCAATGGATTACAGTTCGGACTACAGTGGTACCTTGGTTCTCAGACAACTTGGAACCCAAACACTGCAAACCCGGAAGTAAGTGTTCCAGTTTGCAGACTATTTTCGGAAGCTGAACGTGCTCTGTGTTGAGTGTTGTGCTTCCGATTTGAGTGCCACACTTCCATTTTGAGTGTTACGCTGAGGTCTGTCTGTTTTTGCTATTTATTTTGTGTTTTTGTTTTTGCGGCTTTTTTGTGACTGTGGAACCCAGTTTGGCTACTGATTGATTGGTTGATTGTGTGTGACTGCAGTACAGTGGTACCTCAGGTTACAGATGCTTCAGGTTACAGACTCCACTAACTCAGAAATAGTACCTTGGGTTAAGAACTTTGCTTCAGGAGGAGAACAGAAATCGTGCGGCAGCGGCCCGGCAGCAGCGGGAGGCCCCATTAGCTAAAGTGGTACCTCAGGTTAAGAACAGTTTCCGGATAAAAACAGACTTCCAGAATGAATTAAATTCTTAACCCGAGGTACCACTGTACATTGTTTATTGCTTTCTTTTATGGATCAATGGTCTCGTTAGACAGTAAATTGTTAAATTGCTCTTTTAGGGGTTGTTTTTAAAAGTCTGGAACAGATTGGTCCATTTTGCATTACTTTCTATGGGAAAGCGTCCCTTGGTTTTGGAACGTTTTGGTTTTGGAACAGACTTCTGGAATGGATTAAGTTTGAGAACCAAGGTACCACTGTATATAATTTTTCCTCGGCCAGCTAAATGTCATCAAGAAATATGTCATTAATTTATAAAAAAATGTGTATATACTGCTGTATCGTAAATAGATATCATATATCATAGCAGTTTGCAATATAAAAACATAAAACCAAACAATAACATCATAAAAAGTTAAAAACAAGTTAAAGGCAAAAAGAAATTGAAAGCAGACATCAACAAACCATTGTGATTGATGTATTCTTAATTGCCTGCATAGGCCTGGCAGAATAGAAAAGTTTTCAGCAGGCATTTAAAAGTTGGCACATAAGGCACCCACTGAATCTCTGTTGGCAAGATTATTCCACCAGACTGGGCCAATGACACAAAAGGATCAGTTTCTCATTGTAGAACCCAATCCCAAATTGGTTTAATGAGAAGTTAAGCACTATTCAGCCCTACTCACTTTAATGTGAATTGTTTGCTAAAGTATTAGGAAATATTCAAAGATGTGATTAACTTAGGTCAGCAGCCTTAGATGAAAAGCGCCATTCAGATGTTGGTTGAACAGAACTTATGGACTAATGGCAATGGGTCTTTAACATGTTTTACTTGCTGTAGTAGGTCTACAATGACCGCCTGCAAGGGATTTCAGCCTAGCTAGTCTCCATCCGATTCATACATCTGATGAAGACAACTGCAAGCAAAATCAGTGCATGGCCAAGTTCTCACATTTCGTGCTGAGAGGAAAGGCTCCAGATTTTTCCAGGACCACTTACTCAGTACATCTGATTATGTGCTACAGTGTCAAAATGTGACTGCAGTCAGCTGCCTTGTAGGCATGCTCTTATCCTTTGAGACCCATAGAGCAACAATTGCTTCTTCCAACCTTCTGCATCAGACTGCATCAATAGCAGTTTGATGCATATTGCAGCTGGATGTCTGAAAAGTGCTGCCAGAACTCGAATGCTTCCTCTGTGGCTGGCTGTCCTCCTTGACAGTGATGGGCTGGAAAATCTCAGGAGAGGATCAGTGCTCAGGGTATTCTGGCAATTCCTGGGTTGGCCAGGGTCCAAGGTGGAGCTGCAGAATTCATTGAAACAGAATATGGAAGTTGACTGTCAAGCAGTCATAAAATCCAAATCACAATGTAAAATACAATAAATACAAAAATAAATTGCAATTAGGTTTAATAACCTTCTGTATTTACGCGATCTAATGCACCATTGAATCTAATGCGCACCTCAATTTTCAAAACCTTGAAAGCAAAGGAGTATTTGATGGCACCATCAAATCTAATGCGCACCCTAATTTCCGTGACATAATTTGGCTAAAAAAGGTGTGCATTACATCTGAGTAAATACAGTAGTTTATATGTTCTAATTACGCTAAACAAGACATTGGATAATAAATGTAATATGAATTTCTAATTGAAAGAGTACCCCTTACAAACTTTTAGTCAATCAGTATTATTATTGTTGTTGTTATTATTATTATTATTATTATTATTACTACTACTACTACTACTATTACTACTACTATTATTATTATTCACTTTCTCAGTCCCTTTTCAGTCAAATCAAAGTCTCCCATACAGTACAAAAGCACTAAAAATAAAGAATTAATAACCACAAAGCATTAAAAATAGTATTCCATAACTCTAATATTCTGGGCCCAAGGTGCAGAGGAACCACGGGCAGCAAGCTCCAGGTGAAATTGCAATCAACAGAGGACAAGCATTTGAGATTTGCATGGCCATGCCTTCCTTTTATGCCCAGGGAGTGGACCAGAGTAAAACCTGTGTGTGTGTGTGTGTGTGTGTGTGTAGACTTCACCTAGGTCCACTCGCTAAGCCACACCCCCAAGCTCACCACAGTTCTTGATAAATAAAATAATATACTGAGGACATTGTTTTTGTTTGTTACTATGTTGTGTATTTTTGTGTGTTTATATTGTAAACCGCCCTGTGGTCCTCGGACGAAGGCTGGCATAGAAAACTAATAAAATAATGAAGTAAATGGTGTGAATTTGCTTGGGTACTATTCATGTTGAATCAAAGGGTGCTATTTACTATTTAGTCAAATATTAACAATTTTAATAAGGCTTCGGCATGATATGAATGTGTAACTTGCATGTATCTTGAGCACAAAGCTTAAGTATTGCTCTTGTATTCCTATGGCAGTGAATCACACTTTCATTTTGTGTGATGAAATGGTTATATCTTGCACAGCTTACTGAAAAATCCAGCCTAAAAGTGAGCATAGAGTGGTAACTGTGACTGGGGAAAATTCTGAAGTGGCCAGAAGAGCTGGTGGATGGTATTGAAATATCAAATTTAAAAGGGGGGAGAAGTGCCTGCATTTTAGTGAGTGGCACAAATCGCAGTACTTAAGCCAAGGGAAATGAGATGAGAGTGTTTTTGTACTTATGATTATGTGGCTATGTGGCCAAGCACAGTAATGGAAAACGCTGTGGAATTCAGAGACTCGAATCAACTCACCATCTGCAATAGCAATATAGTTCCAGGAAAGATAGCTGTTCAGTCTTGTTTTGCTTTTGTTTCATAGTGGGATGGTATAAGATTGTTGCAGGAAGTAGTGAATTGCTGAGAGTGTGGACTTGGGCAGACCCAAGAAGAAAACACTAAAATGTGAGTGATTTATTTCAAGCTACAGTAAGAAGAAACCTTTTCAGGCTTGAAAGCTGTGTCTTCAGATCTGTGAAATTCATTTTGCTAAGTATGTTTAGATATACGGTATCTATACTATTTAAAACTCTGTGTTGAACAGATGAAGTCAGGTTGAAATGGTTCTACCAAGATAACTTCTGAGTCCTGGATAAATGGTAATTTACTGAGAACAGTTTCTGTTGGTAGGTCTTGTTTCTTCATCAATCTTTTTAAGCCTGTGAGCACATTTTGAATTTTGGGAATGTGCGATGTGTGCCAGTCACAAAATGGTAGCCAGGGTACGTGTGATGTCTGCCATAGGAATGTGGTGAAATACAAAATGGCAGCCTTAGGGTGTGGCATAACAAAACATGGCTGTCATATCTAGGAGAGCAGAAAAAGAGACAGAACAGTGTAGGCATGCCATCTTGTGGATTTATGAGGGGCTGTTTACTGAGACCCTTTGCAGGCAACCATAGGAGGCAACGGCAGACACTGGTTGGGCAATCCATTGTTTAAAGCAATAGATTGCAAAGGCATCAAGACATATTAAAACTAGAAGGGAAAAAGCAACATTTCCAGGTCCTTTCTAAAAGCGATAAGAAAAGAGAGGCAGTCTAGTGGAAGGATGGGAAAGGACAGTCAGTAAAAAGGCCCCTTTCCCTGTCACCTGCAATCTCACTATGAAGTCAGTAGAAGCACTCTGGGAAGGCTATTGATGGAGATCTTACCAAGTAGGCTTTTGTGGGATAAAGTGGTCCTTTGTGTACTCTAGTTTCCATTTAGGACTTTAACAGATAAAATATGCACCTGTCCAGTGCTATTTTTCTAGAAAAAGAGGGGCCAGAACCAACCATGAACACCTCCCTCATTCTCTTGGAATGGCAATGGCGCCCAGTAAGCTGCAGTGATTCAGCTGCCCCACCATGCAAAGAGGGTACAGTCTCCTTTAAACTAGTCTGACTATACCCTGCCCTCCACCAACACTGCTTCCACAATTTGCAGACAGAGAATGCCTTTCAATTTGGATGTAAAAAGGCACAAAGTGGTCATAAGCCAGATAGGGATTGGCACACCAGTTAGAGGTGGGCAAATCCATTTTGGGCTAAAAATGCAAGCTGGGCATCCAGGAACAACGCTGGTTTTTTGCTACCTATTACTAGGTAATACAACTAGTAAGGTTGTATAACATAGCAATAACCACATTATTGCTAGCTGTAGGGAACACATTATGGGTTTTTCTGTTGGATATAATATGGGCATGATATATTGGATTGTGGAAGGATAATTTCAATAGGCAAATGAATAAGTTCAGATTTCCACTCTCACACACACCTGCCACACACACAAAAAGGATTTGGACATGAGATATTGTCCACCTTGGCCATATATATCTTGTAAGTGGTTTGTTGAGTACAAAATCATTGCCTTCTACAGACACTGGCCGGTTCATGTTAGACTATAAATGTAATGCAAGTAAAAGGTTACATGAAATCCAATGCAAATACAATTTCATCTTGAACAGCATTCTTAAGTATGAATCTAATTGAACTGTGAGCTCTCCAGCAGTCATTTATTATTATGATATATCCGTTCCTTTAAAATAAGCTTTCATGGAAATGGGTAATTGACTTTATTGTACTTTTAACCAAAGGCAATTGACTGGAAAATAGCACTATCATTTAGCCTGATCTTTCATTTGGATTGCTAAAAAGTACATATATAAGAGAAAGGGCAACCATTAATTGATAGCTTAAGAGGGCTATTGTTTATGTCCTTGACAAACTATTACTGCTACTACTGCTACTGCTACTACTACTACTACTACTACTATAATTGTTACCCCAAATGTGGGGTGGTCAGCTTTGTGAAAGTGCTCCTCAGAATTTAGTCACCTACCTTTAAGGATGATAGGAATAGGCATGAGGCATCTTATTATGTACATGAAGGTACTCCTTTTCACATACTTAACTCAATGTAAAGACATCAGGCAGGAGGGCCAACAGAGCAATGTTATGGTGGGGCTAGTGGTGTGCAGTCCTACTCCCTCCAGTTATTTACTTTATTGATGGATCTTACATTGTTAGGAACAGTGACCTCTGAGAGCAGTACCAATTTGTGCTGTGCTATAATAGTGGGTGCTCCCAGTTTTGAGCTTAATATTGCAAATGGGTTGCTGAGATTTGGCATAGGGGTCATTGGCAATAGTGGGTGGTTGTTGTTTTTCTCTCTCTTAATTTATGAGATATTCCCCAGGGACAATTAATCCAAATTAAAGAGGGGAGAATATAGGCTAGCATGTTAATGATGATGCCGTGTGGATGCTGGCGGAAATGCACACATGAGGAGCAACACCCTAACAATCAGAAAGCACCCTAGGCTACCAGAAGTTGATATGGAGAAAGAAATTGGATCTGGGCTTACTGAAAGGCCTAATTTCTGGCTTTATGTATCTGCTAGTCTGTTATTACCTGTTAGTACCAGGTCTTAGATTACAGGGCTGTATATAACTAAGACTTTTAACAAGAAGTAGCACTATCCACAGTGGACTATATTTCATTGATGGTACATTGGAGCAATTTGATCTGGGAACTGTGAGTGATGATGTACAGCAGAATTATTTTTGCAGAGCTGAAGTCTTCATCCATCTATTTTTCTGGCAAAATTCAGCTTTTAGGTGAGATTACTTTCTCCCATGGAAGTAATCCTGTTCATAAATACAACATGTTATTTGAACTCTAATCATATAATTAATGCTCTCCATCAAATTCCAAATAAGTAAGGCCTTCATTGGTGTGAGTGAACATAAACTGAAGTTCACCAGATTCTGTTTTATCTGGTTTGAGGAATCACAGCTGGTTGACCGGAAGAAAAAGATTATGAAATGTAGATGCAGAGGTTACTGTTATCTAGACTAGTGCATTCCAGGGCTAGCCCTTCTTTTAAGATTTTGAGGAGTGTGAGGGAGAAGCAGAAATATTTCTTTGTTGAAACATCTCCAAGAATTGGAGTTTTATTCCAGGCTTTTCTTCCCCTTTCTCACCATCTCCAGGTTCCTAATTATCACAGAAAGGCAGAAATTTTGAACAAAACATGATTTGCCACCTACTCAACAGATTTTACTAACAATATGATGACTTTGAGGCTGCTCTCTGAATTGTGACTTTTTTCTAATGACTGCTCTTCTTGACAGAAGGTATGGGGGTGGGAGAGAGTTTGTATTTCAAGAAAGGCATTGTTAACTCAGCGCTAAACGTATTTATTTGGAAGCAAAAAACCTGGGTGTTTAGGATCATAGTCTGAAGCCCTCACTCCCTACACCTGACCACCAACAGCTCAAGCAGTATAACACTATCCCACAGAGTCACATCAAAGGCTTTTCTAGATGCAGTTATACACAGCGAAGGCACAGTGGTTCTCAGGCTGATGCTCTTCCTCATCCAGACAACATTCTCCCACCTAACACATCAGCTTATAGGAACCTCCTTCCCCCCCCCCCCCCGATCTTAAACCACAGTGTTATTTTCACCAGCATGCGCATTTTTATGCACACTGTCCCCTAGCATATGCTCTTTTTCACCCACTTCTTGGCAGGAGAACTGTGTTTCAGTTCGTGTTATCTTTCACAAAGTGCAAAGCAGTAGGTTCGCCTTTAAATACGAACTGAATCCAATTATTCCACTTCCCTAGCCACAGCCATTGACAGGCAAAGCCAGCTCCTTATTGGCTGCCGGCAGATGGGGAGCTGGCTGAGGGCAGACTAAGGCCATGGGCCAGTGCTCCATTCGCCCTACTGGGCCAGCCCCTGTTATTCCACAAGTGTCACAGAGGATTGTGAGCTCTGGCAGGTGAGGCAACTCCAGAGATCCTCTCTGTAAGATTCGCCTGAAAGCGATATGTATGACCCACTCCTGTGTCCCACTCAGCTTTGCCAAACACATAGGGTTTCTTCTTGGGAAAATCAAGTAATTTGAAGCCAAGATTTTGCTCACTCTGGCTCCCAAAACCAAGACTGAAAATAAAAGCAATCTGACCCAATAGCTGCTATCTGAATTGTGTGGGACATTTCAGAGAAACACTCTATTGTGCACTTCAGCCTGAGAAGATATATTATGCAAGGAGAAGGGGACATAGTAACTCCAGAGACACCCCTCTCCCTTTCTGCTAAATTGAGCATAGTACTGCCTGTGTTTCAGTTTCTCAGAGTGCTTTCTGCCATCTGTTTTTAATTTTTCTTTAATTTCCATTCACGGCCTTTGGACTACTCCCATGTTCAGAAGAAAACAGCAATTAAGGCTAACATTATCTGGGTGCCTCTTCCAGGCTATAAACTTAAAATTGTTGGCATAAGCAAATATTCCGTATCAATCTTTTACCAGCGGACCAATGTTGTTTTCTATTATTTTGCTTTGCAAACACATGGGTAGAGGCATGTTATGCCCCCACTACTTTCATACTAGTGCTGGTATGTGAAAATACTGGAATATACATTCTAATTCTAGCCTAAAGCCTGCTGCAGTCCAGCCAGCCATGGAAAAGAATGTCCTTCATAACAGCTCTGTGAAGGCACAACATAGATTCTTGCCAATTTGTCAGATGAACAGAAAGGAAGCATCATTCCAGAGGTGGCCCTAAGTGTCACCATATAAGCCTATCACACTAGTCACATATTAGCATGACACCCACCATATGTGTTTTAAGGCAGGAGTGGGGAATCTGAGGCCTGGAGGGCTCCTTGGGAGACCCCCTGACTAGCCTTGAGTGTTTTTGCCTGCCTGGAATGTGTCACTGACCCCTGATCATGACTCATAGGAACTAGAAAGGGGTTTCTGTATAACTTGAGCTACACTGATTGCTCCATCTATTTTACCTCTGCCCCACCCATGAGAAGAGAATGCTGCCTTCTTCAGATGTCTCAGCCCTGTTTTAAAGTCTGTAATGCATCACTCTGTTTCAGATACGCAATGATTGTGGTTTCACCGACTAGTATTGTGAGCATAATCCAGTCAAAATCAAGTCCTATTGCTACTAATGGAAAAGTGGTGACCGTTTGCTTAAGTTGGCAATGGAAACAAATGGAACTGGCAAGCGTTGTTTAGAGGAGAGGTGAGCAAGAATCTTCCCAGTCCGGCCAAGTTTACGTATTTCAGGTATGTCCTACAACCTGTTATTCCATGTGCAAGCAACTAGAATGATTGACACATTGTTGTTGATCCCACATCCTCTTCTGGAGGACAAAAAAGTTTGCAAAAATATTCATAAAATGAATGCCAGCTTGGCTCCTAGCCTAGATATGGTCCGTTTGCAAGCTATTACCTCCATTGACCCCAATGGATTTTTATTTTTTTTTGGCAAGCAATAATAACATCTGGCTGCATGTGGAAATGATCCTTGATGCCATCCAGATGTGCTATTTGAAACAACAAATGAAACCTTTGGGCCACAAGTGTCCAGTTGCTAGTGGACCTACAATACTACAGTTTTTCTCACAAACATTTACAGACTTGTTTCCTCTACCATATTGATCTGTGGCATTAGAAGCATAGTGAGAACTGAATAGCTACTGTAGACAGTTAACCTCTTGTTAACTACTCTTATCTGTATTGTTTTTAACACTCGATTGGGAGCCGCCCAGAGTGGCTGGGGAAACTCAGCCAGATGGACGGGGTATAAATAATAAATTATTATTGTTATTATCATCTCTTTCATCCCTCACTTCCCTCCTCTCCTTTGCAGTTTTCCATTCTCAAAATGAGGACTATAAAAATTTTAGGTCAATTATGATCAGCTTACCAGGAAAAGATACGGAGAGTGTTCTCCTGCTACCACTGTGTCCATCCACCTTTTCCTCTTGCTAGGGTTCCTGAGCTTTTAACAGCTACATATCTGGCAAGAAATAAACAAGTACTGCTTTCACAGCATATCCATTGACTTTGTGCCTTCCAAGAAGCTAGTAGATGTACACAAATCCTGTCAGCGGGGCAGTGGAGTGGGGCAGAGATAGCAATTCTGATTTATGTACTTGCTCATTTTAGAGTATGTCAGTATTGATGTGAGTCATACTGATTATATGCAGCACTGTTTGCGAAGTCAAGGCTGCATTTATTCTAGGCAAATAATATTAAGAAGTTCTTATAAAAGAGAAAGGACATATAATTTGACATGTCAAGATCTTGTACCACTCAGCTTTCTCATGTTGAAGAAAACAAGAGCACATATCAGGATCATTTTATTAAGGGGCTTTGGAGAAACAATTAAGTTTAACATTTACTTCTCATTAGGATTCAAGATACAGCAAAACAACCCCTTCTAACTGAAATGTTGGTACATCTTTCAGAAAATATTAAGCATGCATTAGCTTTGGAAATTGGGTCTTGGTTTTGAAACACTTTCTTGATGGACTAGCATTACAAAAGTGCTTGTGAATAAATATGCAATTATAATGAATTTCCAGAAAGCATTTCCGCCCTGCCCCCCAATTAACAATACAAAGAAAATTATTTACAGGGGATTCTTTGGCCCAAAATAAACTTTTCTTAATCTCAAATACAGGCTTGCTTTCCACAAACTATGGCTCTTTCGCACTCTCCCACTCTTTGTCTCTGTTTCCCAGTATTCCCACATCCTCTGAATAATCAATCTCTCCTCCCCTTGCTCTAGGAATGTAGAAGAATGATGCTTCAGCAATCCATTTTGATTAATTTTGAGATTAGATTCTGTTTTATCACAGATTAATTGCATACTGGTCTGGGCTGCACTTCCCCTATTGCAACCAGAGTTGTGCAGAATTATAAAGATATTTGAGATTTTATGCAAAAAGTATGCAGTTGAGAGGCACGAAAATTCTTCTGCAAAATCCCTCTATCTTTGAGGGTTTTCATTACCACTGCCTTCATTCTGAATAGGGAAAAAACAACTACCGACTCAATTTCCTGCCACCACTCTACAATGAAATTTTCACCCTGATCCAGTTATGGTTGTGTATAGTTAGTTACACATGAGCAGTTGGGGCAAAGTAGGGTATGTATTCAGCTGTACATCGCATATCTCCATCCACATTCTAAACCAGATCGTCAACTTCAAATTGGAACCATTGACCTGTTTGTCACCTTAGCAATGGGGAAACATTTGCTCTTCTCTGAACACCTACACCCTTGTGAATATTGTTCTGCCTTTGCACCCATACAAAAGGGTGCAAAAAATACAAAAGGGTGCTTCTCAGGGAGAAAAACGCCTATGAAATGACACACAAACACACACTGTTTCCGCACTCCTTAAAAACGACTGCTTGTCTCTATGGTATTCATTGTGCCCAAATTAATAAATCACTGAAATTCCCAGTGGGACTGAAACTTTGAGAGGTCAAGCTAGAGTGGAAGTAGTACAGATCAGTTTCTCACAGACACGCTATTAGAACATCTGTTTGTGTCCTCGATGCCTATTAAGATGTTTACACTGCTAATTGTAGGCATAGCATAGCTACCTTTTTGTATTTTTGTTTTTCTACCAACCTCAGCGGCACAACATCATATATCTAACTTAGGCCAACTGTCAGCATGCCAATTAGTCAATGCCATATATATTTGTATCAGGTACATTCATTTGATAGATGGTCAAACTCACTGGAACTAATAACCTATGAAAATGCTTTGCTAAGACTATGCCCATATCAATTTTCAACGGCAATGTCTTAGTTTAAGAAACTGATTTCTTGACATTTCCATGTCCAGGAATTTTATGTGCAACACAGACACACATGTTGGGAGATTTTACACTAGTCTTATTATGCTTTAGTAACAATGGTGTGCTGTAGTTTGGACCTCATTATTTACTCGATTTTCAAATAAGGCTATTCCTGCTAAGCATCAAGATTCTATAAGAACTCAATTTGCCTAAATCTTGTTGGTTCATTCAGCTTGTGTCTATATCAGTGTAAATTGTTTCAAAAATGGTAGCCAATTAGAATTACAATGCAAAACTAAACTAAACTATAAACAGTTGTAAAACAAAATAATATTGCATCTTTTAAATTTTGTTACCAAGGCAACTGACAACCCTTTTCCAGTCCCTTATTACTGACACCAAGAACTGCAAATGATAATGCAGACCCTCATTCAACCTACACATTAACTCCTATCTTCATTATATCTATTTGTGGCCTTGCCCACTAAGTTTGATCTACCTGCTCAGTTCTGGTTTGCACTGAGCTCAGCTTGGACACTGAACATGCCCCATAAGCCAGGGCCACATTTCACTGGATACTACAATTGGACACTGACCCTTTCTGAATAAGATGTGCAAATTGCTTCTCATTGTGAATGTAAAAAGTGCGTTTTTAGTCCCATAGACCAGTGCTCAGGGATGATGGGAATTGTAGTTCAAAAACAGCTGGAGGCCCAAGGTTGGGAAACACTGCCATAAATGTTTGGAGGCTGATGTGAGATTTGCCTAAACGTTTTTGTGGTCCTGCCTCTTTTTCTGCTCTTCTAGATGTGACGGCCTTTTTTGTGTTATGCCCCCACAACAGTCATTTTGTGTAATATCAATCTCCCACTCACACACAGAGAGCACTCATTTTGTGACTGGCGCCTGCAACACTTTCTGAGGATTACAAATGTACCCAGTGGTCCAGAACCATTGGCAACTCCTGCCTTAAGAGCCCCAGCGCCTCTCTTTTTGAAAATAAAACACTTACTCCCTGTATAATGACTCTGGGAATCATTCGATAACAAGAAACACAAGAGAAGGGTTGTAGCGGTGTGTTCAATGCATAGCATCTCCAGGCACCCCTGTCTAAAACCTTGAAGAGCGTATTTTTATCAGTTAAAATAATGCTGATGAACCAATGATTTGACTCAGTATAAGGCTGTTGCTATAACCCATAATAACCCTGAATTGACACTGTTGCCCCATTGTGACTATTTCTATACAATCTCATTTCTCTCTATGGGACTAAACTGTTGAGTGCTTTCTTAGCAGCCATGAAAATGTTTAATTAATTTGCTTTTATAACTTGAGTAAAAGCAGGCTGTTAATTTCAAGATTCTGATCCTTGTTATATTCAGCGCCTCAGGCCTTGCCTGCCATGCAGGTACAGTCAGTAAAATAAACACAAACACAGCTTCCACTTCATTTCAGCCCAAGTAACCTTTGCATCAGCCTTAAATAAGAGCTAGAGGATGCTTCTAGCAAAATAAGCTACTGACCATATCCTTGGCTAATAAACACCTAGGCCTGTGGCCTGTCGTTTATTTAGCCTAGGATATGGTTATTGCTCATTAGGAGAAAATACCCTCAAGTTATTATTTAACAATCTTTAGCTGGGGAAAAATTGGGGGCGGGAGTAACATATGGTCCAGCTGTCCACGAATTCACCTGAAAAGGTTTTATCAACACCTTTAGCAAAAGCTGCCTCAGGCAACTCATAAAAACATGGAGAAGTCAATACACCCAGAAGAGCTGAATAAATAAAAATAGTAGTGGTACATTTAATGTATACCTTTCATTCCAAGGCACCTCTACAGCCTAGAGAAATTTCACACTAGACATAAATGGTAGTATAAGGCGGCACAGGTCAGGAATGAAGAAACCTGACAGTGAGGGTTTCAGGGGCAATGGTATTTCAGTGTGCAGTTGTTGTCAAGTTGTTAACTATGTGCTCCTGTGAGGTGAGCTACAATTTCACTGTATGGTATGTCAACACACTCTCATAGTTGCCCTTCTGTGACTTTAGATATTGTAGCTCTTCATGTGAAACTACTCAGTTTCTCATCCTGCTGACGACCCAACCACAGATCAAATCAGTGGTTGGAGGGGTTTGTAACTGTAGTAATTTCACAGAACCTGTCACTTTTGAAGGGCTGCTACCCAAAGGCAAAGAGAACACCTGCAAAGGACTCACCTAACTGGCAGTGGGAAAACAGAGAGGGCTGTTTGGCTCTTGTTTCGTTCGGTAGATCGTGTTTAAATAGCCACATTCAGTTTCCATTCACGTTCCATGTATATTCTGTCCCTACAGCAGAGAAGAGAAAATACAGTTAAAAGGTGTTTACAAGCCAAGTCAACCCTGTGATTTGCTACTTGTGTTCATTTTTTGCTTGAGAGGCACACACCTATTGCAGACTTTAAGTCGGCATTCCACAGCCATGAAGAAATTTCTTGTTTGTAAACCAAAGAGGAAGAATTATAAGCCAGACACTTACATCACCTGACAGATGTGTTTCTCAATCACGTAAGTTTATTTAAGGCTTCCCCCCCCCCGACCTTTCTCTCTCTCTCTTTTTCTTTAACATGACTTGGAATGGGCTAGAAAAGTGAGGAGAAAGTAGAAAATTAAAAGGAGGAAACACATGCTGCATTAAAAAAAAAAGTAATTAATTGACTTTGCTTTCCTAGCTGCACTGTCAGAACTACCAAGTCCTCCTATGTGTCTGGAAGTAAATATATTTTCCCTACACTTGCCCGAAACTCTATAGCTACTGGTAGAACGGTAACACATAATAACATGGTAGCGACACATAAAGCTGTCAGTCTTAAAGGGAAATGGATGCCAAAGCTGAGGGGGTAAACAGACTAAATCAATTTGAACATGCATGTTAAGGTCTGTGAAAGGGCAGAGTTTAGTGCTGCTAGGCTGAAAAGCATTTGTCTCTGTCTCGTTGTATTTCCCTACCATGCAGCGGAATACACCCACAGGCCTCTTGCTTGGCTCCAGTCAGGCTCCGTGGCTGATTAATGACAGCTGGAGGTGTCCAGTAATTTCCTCACCTAATAATAAACTACAGTCCAAAAAAGAGTGGTTCCCTCAGGCCCGCCTTTAACAGAACTGTACTCGCCACCAGTAGAAAGCCAATTACCATGTCTGAGATAAGGCACATTTAAGCAGCTTTCCAGGGCCATTTAGTTGGCTTTGGGCACCTCGCCTTTGGACAAGCTAGGTTCAGATAATGTCTGGGTCAGTTATATAATGACCTAGTGTTCCAAAAATATCTTTGTCATCCCTGCAGGACAGAACCTAAATTGGAGGACTGTCTCGTCTAAGCACAGATCAAACGGCCTACAAGCAGCCACACCAACGTAAAAAAAACACACCAATGGCTTCCGCTACCTTATTCTTTTTCCCAGGGTCACCAACTTACACAACGATGACTACTGTTTCTGGGGCTTAAGCAATCAGTCTGCCTCACAACATCCTACCCGAAGGGGCCCACTAAAAGATTTTATAGGAGAATTTATTCTCCGCAAGAACTTTTCCAGATTCTGTCAGCAATGAAAGATGTGTGTGTATAAAATATGAGGTTAATAAAGGTTGCATTATTTAAAGGGGAGATCTCTTTCCTCATAAAATACTAATTTCTGCATTAACAAGCATGCAAAAGCTGAGTAAATTAATCATGTCCTTAAACATAAGCCAACAGTCCCACCCTCTGCTTTGCCCTGTGCTGCACTACCTTACGTTCAAGAAACATCAACTTGATTTATTCAAGGAAGTTTGCATGGACTTCTAGGGGTGGGGAAAATGGACCTGAAAAGCATAGCTTTTTTAATAAAAAAAAGTTAAAGAATATAGAAGGTTTAGCTGCAACAACATTTCTACATACTTGGAAGCTGTGTACTTTAAAAATCAAGGTATTACTACATTAGCTTGCATGAAGAAGAAACCAAAATAATAATAATAATAATAATAATAATAATAATAATTTATTATTTGTACCCCACCCATCTGGCTGCGTTTCCCCAGCCACTCTGGGCGGCTTCCATAGAAAACAAAAATACACTAAAATATCACACATTAAAAACTTCCCTGAAGATGTCTTCTGAATGTCAGGTAGTTGTTTATTGCTTTGACATCTGATGGGAGGGCATTCCACAGGGCGGGCGCCACTACCGAGAAGGCCCTCTGCCTGGTTCCCTGTAGCTTTGCTTCTCGCAATGAGGGAACCGCCAGAAGGCCCTCGGCACTGGACCTCAGCGTCCGGGCAGAACGATGGGGGTGGAGAGGCTCCTTCAGATATACTGGACCAAGGCCGTTTAGGGCTTTAAAGGTCAGCACCAACACTTTGAATTGTGCTCGGAAACGTACTGGGAGCCAATGTAGGTCTTTCAAGAGACCAATGTTATGTGGTCTCTGTGGCCACTCCCAGTCACCAGTCTAGCTGCCGCATTCTGGATTAGTTGTAGTTTCCGTGTCACCGTCAAAGGTAGCCCCACGTAGAGCGCATTGCAGTAATCCAAGCAGGAGATAACCAGAGCATGCACCACTCTGGCGAGGCAGTCCGCGGGCAGATAGGGTCTCAGCCTGCGTACCAGATGGAGCTGGTAAACAGCTGCCCTGGACACAGATTTGACCTGTGCCTCCATGGACAGCTGTGAGTCCAAAATGACTCCCAGGCTGCGCACCTGGTCCTTCAGGGGCACAGTTACCCCATTCAGGGCCAGGGAATCCTCCACACCTGCCCACCTCCTGTCCCCCAAAACAGTACTTCTGTCTTGTCAGGACTCAACCTCAATCTGTTAGCCGCCATCCAACCTCCAACCGCCCTACAAAGATATTGTAGGACAAAGAATAAGGTGAGCTTTTTGGATGCTCTGGAGTGAAATCTTCTTTTGGAAGGAAGTGTAGAAGAACCTGAGGAGGAGGCAAATACAAGATTAAGCTTCTAAAGCTATGTACACATTAGCAGCTTCAAAACACAGTGAGGTTGCTTCCCCTCAATGAATTTCAAGTTGCATTTGCATGTTGAGGTGCATACAGGAGACGGAGTGTGGATGTCATCACCTGATATGCATTACATGTTTGGTTTCCTCATGGCTACATACCCCCCTCCTATACATGAAGCTGCCATCTGTGCACATGCTGCCATCTGGATGTGTGCAACAGCTGTCTCAAATGTACACACCTCACCTCAACTGCAAATTGAACTTATCTTATGTTTTCAAATTAGATGGAAATTGGTCTGAGGGGAAATGCATCAAACAAGAGTATTTCTAACCACAAACTCGCCAACCTTACTTTCATGTCTCTCAGTCCAGTACTTCTCAAGAAACTACAGGGTGGATATGGATTGTAGCTAATGTCATGTGTACACGGCTTCAGACAGCAGTAACGGAAACACGCTGGATCAAAGGTATATGGTAATGTGTACACAGCCAAAGCGTTGGTGTTCCTTGGAAAAGGCAAGAAGCCCAATGGAACAGCCACACAAAGAGTCTGGGAAGGAAACTGTCTTTTAGAAACAACAGAGCAGATTATTTCGCATACACTAAGGTCTCCTGCTCTTTTAGAATCATAGAATTGTAGAGGTGGAAGGGACCCTGAGGATCATTTAGTCCAACCCCCTGCAATGCAGGAATCTCAACTAAAGCATCCATGGCAGATGGCCATCCAACCTCTGCTTTAAAATCTCCAGTGAAGGAGAGTCCACCACCTTCCGAGGGACTCCATTCCGTTGTCAAACAGCTCTTACTGTCAGAAAGTTCTTTTCGATGTTGAGTTGGAGTCTCCTTTCTTGTAACTTGAATCCACTAGTTCAGGTCCTACCCTCTGAAGCAGGAGAAAACATGCTTGCACCATCTTCCATGTGACAGCCCTTCCAATATTTGAAGATGACTATCATATCTCCTCTCACTGCTGCTAGTGTGCTCCGTTAAAGATCTAAAACAGTGTTTCCCAACCTTTTTTGGGCAAAGGCACACTTGTTTCATGAAAAAAATCTCGAGGCACACCACCATTAGAAAATGTTAAAAAATTTAACTCTGTGCCTATATTGACTACCATATTTTTCGCCCCATAGGACGCACCGCCCCATAAGACGCACCTAATTTTTTGGGGGGAGAATAAAGAAAAAAAAAATTTTCCCCTCCCCAGGCATGGGGCAGGCGCGGGGGAAACCCAAGCTTCCCCCGACCCCAGCCCCCAGAACAGCCTGATATCCGCAAGCCTAGGGAGCCACACTGGTCTCCCCAGGCTTGCGGAGAGGTGCGTGAAGCCCGGGGGCGCTCTTCAGCGCGCACCAGGCTTCGGGATGCAGGCAGCTCTGCACTACCCTCCAGAGCCCCGTGCGGCTTCGCGCTGGGATCCGGGGGGTGGCGCGGAGCTGCAAGAAGCCCTGGAGCGCAGGCAGCTTCGCACCACCCTCCGCAGCCCCGCGCGGCTTCGCGCCGGGATGGGGGGGGTGGCGCGGAGCTGCAAGAAGCCCTGGAGCGCAGGCAGCTCCGTGCCACCCTCCGCAGCCCCGCGCGGCTTCGCACCGGGATCCGGGGGTGGCGCGGAGCTGCAAGAAGCCCTGGAGCGCGGGCAGCTCCGCGCCACCCTCCGCAGCCTCCTACGGAGGGCGCCCCGTGCTCCGCGCTGCTGGCTGCCGCCCGCAAGCGGGGGGGAGTTCCCCCGGGCGCGCAAGGCTTGCGGACAGCTGCGCGAAGAACGGGGCGTCCTCCGAAGGACGCCCCGCGCTCCGCGCTGCAGGCTGCCGCCGCAAGCCTTGCGCGCGGGGGGGGGAGTTCCCCCAGGCGCCCAAGGCTTGCGGACAGCTGCGCGAAGCACGGGGCGTCCTCCAAAGGGCGCCCCGCGCTCCGCGCTGCAGGCTGCCGCCCGCAAGCCTTGCGCGCCGGGGGGGGAGTTCCCCCAGGCGCCCAAGGCTTGCGGACAGCTGCGCGAAGCACGGGGCGTCCTCCAAAGGGCGCCCCGCGCTCCGCGCTGCAGGCTGCCGCCCGCAAGCCTTGCGCGCCGGGGGGGGAGTTCCCCCAGGCGCCCAAGGCTTGCGGACAGCTGCGCGAAGCACGGGGCGTCCTCCAAAGGGCGCCCTGCGCTCCGCGCTGCAGGCTGCCGCCCGCAAGCCTTGCGCGCCGGGGGGGGGAGTTCCCCCAGGCGCCCAAGGCTTGCGGACAGCTGCGCGAAGCACGGGGCGTCCTCCAAAGGGCGCCCCGCGCTCCGCGCTGCAGGCTGCCGCCCGCAAGCCTTGCGCGCCGGGGGGGAGTTCCCCCAGGCGCCCAAGGCTTGCGGACAGCTGCGCGAAGCACGGGGCGTCCTCCAAAGGGCGCCCCGCGCTCCGCGCTGCAGGCTGCCGCCCGCAAGCCTTGCGCGCCGGGGGGGAGTTCCCCCAGGCGCCCAAGGCTTGCGGACAGCTGCGCGAAGCACGGGGCGTCTTCCAAAGGGCGCCCCGCGCTCCGCGCTGCAGGCTGCCGCCCGCAAGCCTTGCGCGCCGGGGGGGGAGTTCCCCCAGGCGCCCAAGGCTTGCAGACAGCTGCGCGAAGCACGGGGCGTCCTCCAAAGGGCGCCCCGCGCTCCGCGCTGCAGGTTCCCGCCCCCCGCCCCACTTCGGAGCACCGGGAGAAGCGATCTCCCCGCAGCCCCGTGCTTCAAAAGAGGTCCGGGGGCAGCGGGAAGCGCTTCCCGCTGTCCCCGGACCTCTTTTGAAGCAAGGGGCGGTGGGGAGAAGCGATCTCGGGCGCCGCGCCGCCCCGCCTCTCCCGCCTCCCTCCCACGGCACACCAGGCAAGGTCTCACGGCACACTGGTGTGCCGCGGAACACCGGTTGGGAAACACTGCTCTAGAGCACTCAGCACAGCATGAAAATGATCCTACATTAAACTATTAGAGGTAAGCACAGCTGACTACCAAGTGAAGAACAACGAATAACTGTTTCCATCCATATGTTTATCTGAAATGTTCCAAAAACTAATATCTCCTGTTAAAAAATAATGCAACTCAGACAACTTCACCCGAAAAAGAAAGAAAAGAAGTTCTTTTAAAAGGATTATTCTGTCAAAAAAGATTTGTAATATTTAACTTACATTTTCCCTGACACTGAAAGAGCGGAAGACTGAGTATCCCATTTCCTCTGTGTCTGAGCTGTTTTGTGTTTCAGAAGTCATGAATGCCAGTATCGTGTGTTTTTTTCCAGAGCTGCTTTCTAACTGCAGAAACAGGATGTATTTAATCCCAGGAGCAGGTAGGCCAGGAATGTGTCCTGGTACAGATTCTAATCTCACCTAGAATCACATATCAGTATTTGGAAGGAATAAAAAATTGTTCTATACATTAATGTATGCTTGCAATTCACTATATATGTGTTTCTTCACATGGACACTGAGAATGTATAAACCCTCTGCCTGGCAATGGTGGATTACACTGGCTGTAGTGGGTATGAGAGTTTCAAAAGGCAATATAATATAAATTTATTTACCGTTTTGAATTCTGTTTTCTTCATCATTTCTCTGCTCTTCCATCTCCTGTATTTTCTCTCTCTGCTTGAGTAGTTCTTAGTATTCTCTCAGTTGCTCCTTTAATAAAAAGAAATGTGAGAGAACATTATTGCCATAGATATTGCTGAACGCCTGATGGAGAATATAAGAAGAAATTGTCCAAACATTACTTGCTGTCACGACAAAGCAACCGGCAGTACTCCTCCATCTAACCTCCCTAAAAACCTCAAATCAGTGTCCTTCCTCAGAGCAAGGCATTGTGGGGAGAGTTGGAGTGCTGCTTTCCCACAACAGGAAAACCTGTTTAAAGTTAAACGGTTTGTTGTTCATTTTAAAAAGTCTTCGTTGCTGTGCCAAAGCCAGCAGCGGCATCCCTACAAGGCTCTTCTAGGCTGTCTGCCCTGGTTGCCCTGGTGCCTGGTTCTGAGGAAGGACACTGGTATTGTTCCTCAAAGTGAGGAACTGAGGAAGGCAGGGGTACATCATTGGAGCTGTGGGGCGGGGGGAGGAAGACCACTGAGCGGCAATCAGAGCGGCGGTTGGAGGAGGGTGAAGCAGCCTGGTGGTATTCACTGAACCACCGTCTTAGGCTCTGGAATATTTCCAGTTGAAGTGAATGCACTAAATGTGTAACAGCCCCAAAGAGGATCGTGGGCTTAAGGTAAACCTGGTACACTACTGGAATAAAAAGGAAATTACTATATAGGTGAATAGCAGAATCTAGGGTAGCTGTGTAAAAAAAAAAAGGTAAAGGACCCCTGACAGTTAAGTCCAGTCGCTAACGATGCTGGGGTTGCGGCACTCATCTTGCTTTACTGGCCGAGGGAGCCAATGTTTGTCTGCAGACAGTTTTTCCGGGTCATGTGGCCAGCATGACTAAGCTACTTCTGGCGAAACCAGAGCAGCGCACGGAAACACCATTTACCTTCCCTATTTATCTACTTGCACTTTGACGTGCTTTTGAACTGCTAGGTTGGCAGGAGCTGGGACCGAGCAACAGAGCTCACCCCGTCACGGGGATTCGAAGCACCGACCTTCTGATCGGCAAGCCCTAGGCTCAGTGGTTTAGACCACAGCGCCACCCGCGTCCCTTAGGGTAGCTATGTACTCATCACCAAAAAAGAGGATAAAAGAGGGCATGGATATACTTGGTACCTGCATATACTAATTTATATGTATAGATATATATTTATATTTATACATATATATTTATATGTATAGATATAAATGTAAAAATAACTGCTATAAATTAAATAGAAATACAATATATTTCCACATAGTGGGGTAGACTGTGATCAGGTGTGTCTGCTCATTCACTGTTTAGGCACTAATAGTTGAGGGCCAACTTCAGCACTCTTGCCCTTCCTTCTTATAATTCTTTATCAGGAAGGCCTTCAAATAGAGGACTGCCTTCTGCAACGCAGAACACATGGCCACCCTTCCAGACTCTTGAACAGAATCATGACAGGTATGGAATGACTTTCCCTCAAAGACTAGGCAGGCACAGAATCCAGCATGCAGTCATTTGCAGGCTCTTAGTGCCAGTTTTCAATTTATTTACTCCTTTTTAAAACTATGAAGAGTCTCCAAATGATTGTGTGAGACATATGCAAAACAACTTGTAGCATGTAGAAAAACTGCTAAAACTGCTAAAACAATTGCATATAGAAAACAATTTAAAACCAACAGAAACGTTAAAAACAGTTAAAACAATTACAAATATGAACAAACATTTTTAGCATGCTAACTACTACAGTTCGTGTTTCACTGATATATTTTTTATGGATTATAATTATGAATTACATTGATTCAATGTTTTTTACAGAGGGGGAAACTGAGAGAGACTTACAGCAAGTTAAAAATGCAAAACTACCATCATCGCATCCAGCATCACACACCAATATGTTTTATTGACATGTTCTGATTTTGTTATTTTACTGGTGGCAAACTGCCTTGGTCCCCTGGTGTGAAAGGTGGTATAGAATTGGTTTTATAAATAAATTAACTTTCAAGAGTCTTTGCAGACTCTGGAGCAATGAGAATACTCCCCCAACAAACAGTCCACCTGCCACAGAAAGGCAATGGTATTCTGTAGCAACTGCACTGCATGGCAGACCTTTACAGTAGTCTGGCCTTGAGGGTCCAAACCAAAAGAACCCTATCTGGGTGTTCTTTGTTCCTGTGTTGAGTAACACCTAAGCAAGGAGCAGGGCTGTAGCAAGCAGCCCAGCCCCTTATGTTGCACACTTGCTAATGTCTGTAGTGGGGCGCAGGAGGTATGTGCCTTCACACATATGAAGGCACACACCTGTGTATGTGAAGATTGGCCCAGAATCTTCAACACTGTGTGGTCAGCCAGAACGCTCCCATGTGATGTACTTGCAAATGTCAAGGGAAGTGTGTGCAATGCCAGGTGTAGGAGAACCAGTGAGGCCCCCACTCCTTGTTTCTGTGTTGTTCAACGCTGAAATTAGACCGAAGTATCATCATAATGCTGGCACCCCTAATGGATTTCAGCAATATCCACCATTCACAACTAGGTGTTTCACTTCTATTCCCATGACAAAAATTGCCTCATTTCCTAACAAAGAATTTAATAGTCAAGCAATTAAGTATTATCATACTGACTCAAGCCAAATTAAACAAAAAGGAATGCAAGCACTATCTGCTATGTATGGGCTTAAATTTTATGAGCTATCTGATGTCATGTACAATAAAATTTTATGACTGCACTTTATTAGAATTTATTGTGTTATAATACAATTCATCCTTTATATTAACTGTAATAGTCATACACCTTTCCCCCCTCTCACGTGATAGGTTTGTTTTACTGTAACATAAAGGAGGAATCTGGTCTGATAATCCACATGGAGAAAAACTGATTATCTGGTTCTTTATCAGTCTAGCTTACGATCCAATGTTGGGACCAATGCTGGGTCTTGGGCAACCTTATGAATGACAGGTCATCCTGGGATATGGGTAGAGTGAATGCAAATCCTGGAACCCTCAAGCCATCAAACTAGGGATGTACTAGAATTGCACTGCTCACCCCGAAAGCAGTTGAGACTTTGCAAGTGTTCAAGCTGAATGCTCTGTGTGAAGCTACCTTTTGAAAAGTATTTTGAGGTGCTGCATATGAAGGCAGAAGGGAAAGCTAGCAAGTAAGATGACAGCATTTGCAGCCCATTTAAAGGATTGACCCAGCAGAGGTCTAGGTTGTCCCAAAATGACTGCATAATTATTTTTAAACAGCGCATCACATATTGATTACGGTACCTTCCCCAATCTGAGTTTTCACCCCATCCCGAATTCCATGTGCTTTTTGGAATGGTCTGTATTCAGCTCTTGAGGCTGATGAACACATATGTGTTCATCGCTTACTGACTGCAGCACCAAATGGTAACTTTCATATATGTGAATGAGCTGTCAGATACCAGGCCCCAGAAACTGAATTTTTTATCTCTTCACACATAATGCTTCTTTTACCTTGTTTTTATGTTGCAATGGCTAACCAACAATCTATGATTTAAACAATCTCTCTCTATATAAAAAACACAATGCAACTATGAAATAAAGTTGTCTCTGCTGCAGTTTATTTTAAGAACCTTTATGATGACACTGAACACAGCAATGTGCTTCGAGACTGACACCACATCCATAGAAGTCAATGGGGGTCCCACGATTGAGTTCAAGAAGTATTTGCTTTGTCCCTTAAACAGTCTCAGTGGATTAAGAGCAAAACACAAAGTTTAAGGGCGGGGGAGAGTGTTTTAAGCAGGATTGAGGATGTTAAAATTGTACTCTGCCTGTAATCTGCTAATCAGCTTGAAAAACTGATATATAGATAAGCATCTGCGTTCTTTTGAACTCCCCCCCCTTTTCATTCTTCGAAAGGTGGACCACACTTTGTAAGAAGCTGGTTCTCATTCAGTGACCTCCCCAGTTTCTTTAAACTCCACTCTTATCCCTCAACACTGCCCCTTCTGTGTTGAGATTATGTGTTCCCATACTACAAAAGACGAGAACAAAGTTAGAGAAGAAAAAGGAAAGCTGGTCTACTGTCAGAACCGAGGCTTATCGCAGCAGCCTCCTATTTTTAACTCGATTGCAAACGATATCTGTGATCAAAGGGCCAGAACCCCTGAAGGAGCTTATGCAAACAGCATGGTGGCCGGAATTCTTCCTGATGATTTGTAAGCAGGAAAGGACTTTTGACATGAAAGACAGCTTAAACAGCACAAGAATAGCAATAAACCATCTGTAAAATGCTTAACGTTGCCCTTGAACTAATGCAAATTTGTTCCAAACAATTTTTTCCCCTTTTCCCTTTTTCTCCTCCTTGCAAACTCTGGATGCCCTGCTGGGGCATTTGAACAGTCACATGTTCACTATACAAAAGCCTGTATAAGCAGGGAAATACAGTGTACTAATGTGTTTAGGACCAGGGAATCAAGCAACTTCCACAATTTAAATCCGCTGCCTTCCTTTTCCTCTTTCTTTGAGAAATCTTCATTAATGATACCCTGGTTAGGCATGCTGACTAAATGTCCAGAGAGCAGCACCCAAGGTAATTTTGCTGGTTTCAAATAGTTACAAAGAAAAAACACTACCAACTAGTTAGCAGAGTACATTCAATCATTTTTCTAAAGTAGCACAGCTCACTAGGAATGTGATTCTACTTATACTTATTCCCTTTTTATGCCCTTTATCAAAATATGTCAATAAAACAGGTAATGCAAGAAATGTGGATCAGTTGGTTATACCTTAATTGCTATCCAGAAGAACTATAGTGCAAGAGTTTTAAATGATGTTAATAGATTTATTTATTTTAGTGATGTGTCCTCTTATCTGTGGCTATTCATAAATATTAAAATGTTCCAAAACATAGTAATTGGAAGGGAAATATCCATTTACACATTATTTCCGGTCCCTTGGAAATACAGATTAATCTTTTCAAATCAGCTTTATCAGATGTACAAAATGGACGGCATCTACTTAATATTTACTTAGGTCTATGTGTGTGTTTTAATAGAACTTTATATAGCACCTGTTGAGATCTCAATTTCTTTAATATCACA